CCGGTCCGCGCAAACAAATAAAGCCCCATCCGCGGGATGCAGGCAGTACACGAAACGACGCCCTCTCCGGTCCGTGGAAAAACCTCTCTCCACGGAACCGGTCCCTGGTGCCCAAGAGGCTGAGGATCTAGAGCAGTGATGGCGAACCTTTTAGAGACCGAGTGCCCAAACTGCAACCCAAAACCCACTTATTTATTGCCGGGTGCCGGGTGGGTGTGGCCCACTGGGTGGGTGTGGCTGTGGTGGTCATGGCAGATTGGGTGGGTGTGGCCAAGGTGGGCGTGGTCACCTTGATGTTGCTCGTGGGGAGGGACGCCTGTGGGGGCCGGGCAGGGTTGGGGGAGATCCAGGGGGTCTCTGGCAGGTGGGGCGGTGGGCAGGAGGCTCGTCCTGCGGGGTGAGACAAGGCAAGATGAGGCAGGGCAGGGGTGGCATTGTCGCAGGGCAAGGCGAGGCAGGGGCTGCTGCTGCCTGACATCATCGGCCCCTACACACAGAGGCCAGCGAGCGCATGAGGGGCAACAGTGTCCGTCAGCAGCCACAGCCTGCCAGCCCCTCGACCGGCGCACTCTGGGGCTCTGCAGCCCGCCACCAGCAGTTCAGAGAAGTGCCCACAGAGAGGGCTCTGAGTGCCGCCTCTGGCGCGCGTGCCATAGGTTTGCCACCACTGATCTAGAGGAAGACCGTAAGCTACAGCTTGAAGATCTTGAATAGAGGAGAAGTTGAACTAAGTTGCCTCCTCACTCTAAACCAGGGATGTCCAACCTTGGACAACCTGTGGACTTCAACTCCCAGAATTCCCCAGCCAGCCGTGGTGGGGAATTGAAGCCTTAAAGCGAACAAGGTTGGACACCCCTGCTCTCCACGTTCTGCCACCTCCGATTTAAGGAGACAACTCACATTTCCGTTTGGGTTGATTCATTCTAATGGGGAGCTGGCTGCCTGCTGCCCGCTTTCTCTTCCGGCTTGCTCTGCTTGGAAGGTGAGCGTCTTCAACGCTGTTGGCAGGACATGAGGGCTTCAGCTTCTGCTGGTGATATCTAGAGAACAGCATTGAAGAAGAAGTCTATTCCTAGATACGCGCAAAGGGATGGCAGTACTGAAGTTCTCTGGATCCTTTAAAGCCGCGGTTCTATAGCAGTTTTATCTAGCTGCACCGTGCTGGACAGAAGCACGGGAGATCTCTGCCCCTCAAATCTTATCCTGTATCAGAGTAGATATAAGTCGGTAAGCTATGATAGGTAATATAAGCTAGTTTAACAAAAAAGAAGGACTAGGGATGACACGATAGCAGTCTTCCAATATTTGAGGGGGGGGTCACACAAAGAGGGGATCAGCCTATTCTCCCAAGCACCAGAAGAAGGCAGGACAAGAAGCAACGGATGGAGACTAACCAAGGAGAGAAGCAACCTGGAACTAAGGAGAAACTTCCTTGACAGTGAGGACAATTAACCAGTGGAACAACCTGCCTCCAGAAGGTGTGACTGCTCCAACACGGGAAGTTTTTAAGATTGCACAGACACTTGTCTGGAATGGTATAGGGCAGGGGTAGGCAACCTTGGCTCTTTTATGACTCATGGACTTCAACTCCCAGAATTCCTGAGCCAGCTATGTTGGCTCAGGAATTCTGGAAGTTGAAGTCCATGAGTCATAAAAGAGCCAAGGTTGCCTACCCCTGGTATAGGGTTTCCTGCCTGAGCAGGGAGGGCTGGACTAGATGACCTCCAAGGTCCCTTCCAACTCTGTTGTTCTGTCATTCTGCTTGCAATCCAGTCCCACAGGTGTCTGTTGAGGATAGGCTAAGCTGAGGCACACTGGGCTCTGAGACCTTGCGGCCATGATGGGCTGAGAAACTTTGAAGAAACAGCCACCACGTGGCTTTCCTGCAGGAGAGGAGGGGGAATGCCCGGGCCCGGCCGATACCTGAGGACTTTGATGGTTTCTTGCCACTCTGCCTGGCTGCTCTCCCAGTCGTCCACTTCCAGCCAGTCCGAGTTTTCGGTCGCGAGTCTCGCCATGGCCACCCGGTGACGGGCGCTGATCAGGCTCTTCTTCAGATAGGCGTCCCCCACGGGGGAAACGATCCCTTTCACCACTTTGTATTTCCCTGCAGGCGTCGATACAAGGGGAAACCTGGTTTAAATAACCGTTTAGCAATAAAGCTCCCTAGGTGAGGTTGGGCCGGTTTTTCTTCTCCCTTCTTGCTTTAAATTAGCAGCATTCTAAGAAGCCTGGGCTTTAAGTGGCATGAGGGGAGGGAGGGAGGGAGGGAGGGAGGAGATGGAGAAGGA